GCTCCTCCCCTGACGGTTTTTACCGGGCTGGCCAAGCCGTAGTACCGGGCTGGGTAATAAGAGAAAAGAAAGAGGGGAGAGGGAGGGAAAGAAAAAGAAGAGGAAAAGAAAAGGAAAGGAAAAGAAAAAGAGAAGAGAAAAATCATAATGACCAGACTCACAACACCCTGCAACCCCCTTCTCCACTTCAAAAACTCTCATAAATCCTTTGATCTATGCTGCCCAATGGCGTAATCACTGGGGGACAAGGGGAAAATATCTATCTTTGGAAAATCTTCCCCATCCCTTTATAAATGCCCTTTTCATCCCCTGAATGTGCCTAAAAATCCCAAATTTCGCGCGCATTTCTTGTTAACGTGGGCAGTTTCCTCTACAGAGTACACCCGAAACATATTTACAATTAAATCCTTAGTTCTTTTCTTAAAATGTGTTGTATTTTTCATCAATTTACGTCCGTTTGGTTCCATCATTAAGGATTTTAGTTCGGAAGACCTGCCAATTTGTTTGCTTAGGAAGTATGATAAGATATCCCTACGCTTCATTAAACCTGAATTGGATTATCATTTTTTACACAATAAATAAATATATAAATGAATATATGAATAATTACAGTATATATAATATAATACAGTATATATAAATAAATAAATATATATATATATACACAAATAAATATAATTATAAATATATTAATATTTATATATATATAAATATATATATATATATATAAATATATATATAAATATATATACATATATAGCAGCGGCGGGGCCGGGGGACAATGGAGCTAAATCCCCAACCCCATCGGACAAGTCAAGGATCCCCCGGCCGACAAAAAAAAAAATTAAATATAGGCCTACACCAAGCCATGTCTTTCACACTGCTAAGTGCCATTTCCGGCCATCCAGAGCTCCCTTTAGAAAAACCTCATCTCCTAAACCCCCTCCTCAGGCATACGAGCTCAATCCCCCTGTTGGATAGCTTAGCTCACCCCCGAAAAAATGTATCCCAGAGGAGGCACTGTCTAGGCCTTTAGGCCTATGCAGAATGTGGCCCTAGGCTACCTAAAAATATACTAAAGAATAGGCCTAATTGTTTTTTAATACATTACTTTATACAATATAAATTGCAATACAGACATTGGAAATTAATATATTTAAATTAAATATTTTTAACATTCTGTTCCCCTTCTCATTCAAACATTCAAAAGTAATATATCTGAACTTCAGCAGTTGTAATAGAAATAGAAATTTTAATTTATTAGGCCCATTTTCTTTTCCAGTAAGATAATTTGTTCATGTGTAGGCTGGAAAATCCACAGATTAAATACAGTATTGAAGTACTAGTAGTAGGCCTATAGGCCATTGAATTGTTTTTATTTCTTTTTGTGATTACGGCCTAATCCCTACTGCCAAAATAAGACTAACTAGGCCTATGTATTATTTCACTCAGTGTAGACCCCATAAATTAATAATGTTCCAGGGACCCTAATTTTGAAAAGAAAATTACACCGGGACAGCTTATTTTTTTCTACATTGGTTGTACCTTGCTGTGTGCATGACGTCAACATACGAAGCCACGCCCCTGCCCCTCCCCCCACCCCGGCTGAACCCGTTGTATTCAGCAACTACCCGAGATGAGAAGTACAATAACTAACTCATTAGAGAGGGCGCACTTTATTGACTGTAACTGTATAAAGCGAGAGCATTCCAGCGATGCGATCTACAACCTCTGAATTTGCCTAGTAACGAAGAATTGGTCGATGAAATGGTAATCTCCTATGAGAAATAGTCTGTATTTCTCATATTTTTTATTCTTTTGCGTAATACCAATATTTATGCAAATATTTTCCATGATTTATAATAATTAGAATAATGCATATGCATTAAAAAAAATCTTTTTTTAGTGAACTTTTTCCGGGAATGGGGCTTTAACATGTACAGAAGAGAGCATGAGATACAAAGTTTTGGCTACCGTGATAAATTCATTAAAAACTGTAAGATGCATGAATTCTTTGCCCATACCACAGATAATAATACATGGGTTAGTACATTCAAACATAAAAACAACGATCTGTGCAATGTTAACTGGATTCGTACTGCAGTCATTAAATCATCTCTTAATCATTACATTAATATGAAAGAATTTCCCAAAATGGAGGATTATTTAAAAAATAAAACTGATTTCTATGGAAAATGTAAAGCTTCATTCCCGGCAGAATTTCACTAAAAAGAATGTTTTAAAGGAAAAATGCATATGCATTACTCTATTTATTATTATAAACAATGGAAAATATTGGCATAAATTTTAGTTTTACGCAAAAGAATAAAAAAAAAGAGAAATGGAGTATTTCTCAGGAGATTACCATTTTCTCGACGAATCCGCATGAATGCTCTCGGTTTTATGTATACTATTATACAGTCAATAAAGTGTGGCATCTCTAATGAAATTAGTTTTTTTACTTCGCATCTCGCACACTGCGGTCGATCGAGTAGGCCTGAGATATGTTTTTTTAATTGTCAAAATCTCGGTCAGAATAATTTTTTTAACAGATTGAAATAATTCCTATGAAATATTATATTTCACAAGTGTCAACTAGCAACGGAAATATCATGTCGACCATTTTTGTGTGATAACAGAACCTAAATCGAGGTAAGACTAGGTCTGGCCTAGCAGTGTTGGATAGGCTAATGTTTTCGGCGCCTACTATATTTCTTCGCAGACCTATCGCAAAATCAAACACGAAAAATTCATCCGTATTTATTTTTTGTGTGGAACACAAAAAATCAACTTTCAGTCTTATTTTACATATTTTTCATGTTTAGGAATGTCTAAATTCAGTTAAATTAGCAAATTCGTATTACATTTATAAACCTTTATAACTTATATAAAAATCAGATTTTTCTTAACAACTGAAATCTTGCCGGGAATGGGGCTTTAAAGTAAGATCCAATACCCTAAAAGTGTGTAAATATGATCCGACTGTAGATAAGTGCTGCCCTCTATGCCATGAAAATGAAGAGGATATTATATATATGTTGACATGTAGATCACTTAACAAAAAAAGATGAATATATCGCTGAAGAAAACAAAATCACATCCCGTTCTGTTTAGAATATATTTCACTGATTCATGAGTGGAGATTGTAACACTGAGATTGATATACTTTTGGAGAATCTTGCAAATTTATGAACGATCTTTGTATGTCGTACTTAAAAATAGCATGTAATTGGAATAGCATGGAAACAGAGAAATGATATAAATGTAAAACCTAAATAATGTGCATTCATTTATTTGTATGAAAGAAGTTACCTTATGTTGTACATTAAATTGAAAAAAAATAGAGATATGTTTGTTTTAAATGGTAAAATTAAGACTCGACCTAATGAGTACAGTACTTACTGTTCATGAAGAACTGTTCATGAAGATTTATCGAGTTGTAAGAATTTTAATTTCACGTCTTGTACATTGCCGTGTGTCTGTATATATTATTTATTTTAAATTGTTCCTTTCATGAACTTTCTCACATTTTTAAGTTAAATTAAATTGTTATGAGGCTTACGAAGTGGAGTAAGGAAAAAATTATGATACCGTGACAGGAATTGAACCCAGGGCATTGAAATTGTAAGGAAAGCACCTTAACCACCAACCTATTCAACTCCACTCCGAATTATGCCTATTGATTAGTTCTTATAACTGTAAAAATGAATGTGTTTGTGATACCGAACTTGTAGCATATTTCTGATAAGCATGATATATGATATAACATTATTTTCTTGTGATAAATTTTTATACATTAAATGTACATTAGAAAAATAAAAGAAATTTTCTTTTATTTTTCTTTAATTAACTTTTTGTTTTACAGAAACCGTCAGCAGTATGTAATGAGAACTGTACACCAGGCACGAGGCGACAGTATAATATGGGGAATGAGTGCTGTTTCCGTTGCTTGCCTTGTTCAGGGAATACCATATCAAACGAAAGTACAGGTAAGTTCTGCGCGTACTCTATGCAAAATGTTAGAAGAACATTACAGTATACCTCAATAACTTGTAACAGTAACGTTAATATCACGGGCATACGCCAGACTTGCCCTATGGACATAATATTTATTCACCTGGGACGTACTACTGGTTCCTTTAAATTTCGTAAATATAACCATATTGTATTCAGGCGTACACAAAGCTACATTTTAATTTATACCCTACTATTTACAAATCATGATTTGATCATTGAGGAATAAGTTTAAACTTATTCCTCAATGATTTTAACAATATTCAATTTCCATATTTTTAATCTATATTGATTTTCTTCCCGCTATAGGTGAAGACAGTTGTATGGCTTGTGGAAAAGACGAGTACGCCAATAACAAACGATCAATGTGCCTGAAGAAGAGCCCGGATGTATTTATGTGGGACGACATCATATCTCTCATTTTCTGCATCTTAAGCGTACTAGGAAGCTTGGCAACAGTTGCCGTCTCGTACATTTTCTACAAACATCGCAACACACCTGTTGTCAGGGCGTCTAGCCTATCCCATATCTTTGTCTTGGCGTTTGTATTGTTTTTGAGCTTTCAGATAGTTTACTTTTACATAGGAATTCCTACAGATACTATGTGTAAAGTCAAATCGATCATAAACAGGCTTAACCTTACAGTAATCCTAGGCATCTTCTGTGCTAAGCTATACGTCATTTTGAAGATTTTTAATAATAAGCTAAACTCTATACCTACAAACCTGTTCTATCGGTATTCCTGGATGCTAGTTGCAGCTATCGCCGGTCTTCACTTGGCATTTAACGTAATCCTTGAAATCGCCATCCCCAGTCACGTTGTGTACGATTACAACAATTCATTAACAATTCTGCCTATCTTCTGCAATGAAACTGATGCTGGTTTTATTGTCACGAACCTATACCAGTTGATAATGTCTTTGACGTGCTTTATCTTTGCTTTCCGCGCCCGGAACCTGCCAAAGAATTTCCAAGAAGCGAGGTTTATATGGTTCATCATGTTCACATGGTGTATACTTGAAATTTTCTCAATTCCCGCGCATTTTGCAGCAGCCGGAAAGCTCCAGATATGTTTTCAAGTAATATTTCTTCTGCTGTTTAATTTCTTGACGCTTTCAGCATTTTACTTTCCAAAATGCTACCTTATTTACTTTCGTCCAGACAAAAATACAAGAGAAAATGTGGGAAAAGAGATCCGTGAACAAGGAACATCACAACCACGCGAATGCGGCGATGTACAGTTGTGTAACACAACACCATCAGACGACGAGGCAGGTTTAGGTCATGAAATTTCGGGTTAAAATATGTAAATGTAAATCCTAATGCTCACAAAGATTTTCACTATTTTGCGTAAAGATCATAGTATTTTTTCTTTTGATACATTTCGGCAGTAGTTCTAATGTACTTTGTAAATTTTGAGAAGTTTGTGAAGGGTAGGGGTTACCCCGAAGTACTGGTCGATTCAGTCCCTGTTGCTTAATGGATATGTCACGTAGGATAGTGGTTAAGGTCGCTAATTGACATATCCTTGGCGCTCGTGCCCATACGAATATAAAAGATCTGCTCTGAATATAAAATTCGATTTTAAATACTGTATATCCAACAGCCGTTTCAGCGAGTGAATACATTGTTCTAATTGTATACACAGATAAACAATTTTATAAATGATGTAATTATACTAGATATTTTAGTATTATCACTTAGTTAAAAACAAGAAAAACAAGAAGTAGTTTTGTAAATTTTGAATGCTGATTTTAATTTTGTTTTAATTACCGGTATGTGTCTATATGCATAGAGAGATTTGTATAATAATATTCTTTTTAAACATACGGCTATAGACCAATTATAAAGAAAATTACAAAAAATGAAAAAAAAATTAATTTTACCTAATGAAAAGCTTTTTCATATGTAGTAATATTTCTGATGTTTTATTTCAAGTTTTTGTGGTTGTACACATTTGCTGTTTGTTCATTCACGTTTTGTAGAGTTTACGCAGTGCTTTTGAAGCACTTGCTGCAGCAAGAAATATACTATCTTAACGTCTTAAAATCTAAGAGAATTGCTATCAACTTCGAAAAATTGTATTACTAGTTCAAAAAAGGGGAAAAAAGAGCTATATACTCAACGCATCAAGAGCTCTGATCTTCAAGATATAGCGCTATACATGCTGTAATGTGTAAGAACCAAATATAGTGGTTGACCAGAATTTGTTCATTTGATGACGTAGACATCTGGTAAGTCTATTACGGAAATCATTACTGAACAATTCCTTGAAATTGTTGGCATTGGAAACAAAAAAACAAAAACAGAAACAAAAAACAAACAAACAAATGTAAAGATTTCAAGAGTACCACCGAGATAAGATAACAAATAAACCAATTATATTGGAATGTATTAATCACAGATTTGACCAATTAAATTAGAAACTATTCATCCATTTTATCAAGTAATACCACAGCTTTGCACTACTAGGATGAGTAATGCTGTACTATAGTATTAGCTAGCTAATTTAGGACAATATTGAAGGTTGCTATGGCAACTGCTCCTGGGTTAACCACAGGCATTTCCTACAAAAATAAGGAATATAATACTGTAATGTGTAGTGTATTGTAGATATCATGTGTATTGACTTAAACAACTGTTGAACTGGCTAGTCACCACACATTTTGTTACTTTTCAGAATAAAACATTTAAAACTCTACATTGTTGCCGCGTTTTACTTGCACACGTGCAAAATATATATTGTTATTTTCTCATAATTGAAGTGTTAACGTAGAACTGACTACAGATCTGGTTCTCAATCAGACTGGAAGAAGAGGTCCCCTTTCAAATCACTGAAAATGGCGGTCCCATGGGAATTTAGTAGGCCTAGGTAGGCTGCTGCTGCCTTTGGAGCCAACAACTACCATAGTCCCACCATGATTTGGGCAGAGGTGGTGCCAGTGGATGGAGTAGAGTCCCCGTCGAAGAGAGCTTCCTGGAAAAACACAATTCATCGGAGAGAAGAAAAGATTGGTGTCAGACTAAAAATGTGACTGACAACGTTGCCTATTGGCAACAACGACAACAAAATATTAAGAACGAATATCTAATGTCGTATTGGGCCAACACATAATCAATTATCTATCTCGGAGAATAAGCACAAGCAGTGTAACCACTGAGAAAAATCAAAATTCCCAAGATTGGAGTCTAACAAATTCCAATTCTTTAAAAATCCAAAGATTAGCAAAATATTAGTATAATTATATAAACATATAACTTCATTTCAAATTCCAATTTTAAGTTGCGAAACAGTGCCTGGATTTTCAAAACCAATAACTCATTCGTTTTGATTTAACTGTGTATACTTTTCTGAAAGTGGGGAGGGGTGGGGTTATAATGTCTTATATGAATTATAATCATATACATACAAAATGACAGGGCAAATGTCTTTTAATTTATTTGCATTACACAGAAAAATATTTCAGTAGCGTAACTCATACTTTAATAGAAATAAGGCATTGAGTTTTATAAATTTTTTTTGGGAGCTGGCAAAAGTAGTCAGAGTAAAGCGTTTTTGATAAATTGTATTGTTCGAATGCAAACACAATGAAAAGCATTTGCAAAGTATAAAGCATTATTTTTTCCCCACAATACAGTTAAGGCAGAAACTATAGAGGGCGTTATTTTAGGTCAGTTTCGTAAACTAAAAAACATGAATAATATACATGCTTGACTTCTTCCTCGTGAAAGCAGTGTTCGCTGCTTGTAAAATCTGCAGCGTTGACTAGTCTTACCCCGTAGAACTGATTCTGAAGGATATAAACGTTTATAAATGCTCGGGCACAGTATTAGATATTTTTATGTATAGTTTTAATAGTTCTCACAAACCGATAGACATGAATAAATGCATGCTTGACTTGGCAAAAGAGGTTTTCAGTGCAGTGTTGGTTCAGTGGTGTATCGAGCAAGCTCTATGGTTTAGGCCAAATCCTCTAAAATATAAAATAGGCCGTAGTAGTCAAGACTGTGAAAATTAATGGACTATTGTATACTGTTCCCTATGACCATATATGACTAAGCACAGTTTACTATGGTCTTCGAAAGTATAATTAAAAACACAGTATAGTAATATTGAATCTGGCTATTCTGTATGACATGGTATGACATGCGTCCTTAGCAGTTGTATTCCATATACTGTAGTAGTACATAATTCGATCTCACGTTCATGTTTTTTTTTATCACGTAAAATACATGGAACTCTTTTTCCAAGGTTCAACATACATATAGATATGAATATCTGAATGATATAAACTTTTAGAAAATAACCACGAGTGATTCAGACACAGCTAAGTTATTTACAGATATAATTTTAATGAGAGTAGCATAATACCTGGCTATTTTCTTTTTTGCATTATCCACTGACTGGTAAAATTTAAATCAATGAAAACTATACTTCCTTCTGTTTTAATTGTTTTAATTAACTATTCATTTTTTTAATTTTGGAACTTTCTTGATTTTTGTTGGCAGCTTAAATAAACAGTACGTCATGATAGTCGTTGCATTCAATATCGCTGGTTGTGGTATAATGAATCATATAATAATCTGCTTGCTATAGTGCCTCGCTATGACTATACTTCTTTTTTATATTGAATGTGAACGAAATGTAGGTGAAACTATTAAGACTATACATAGAATTGTAATACTGTGTCTGAGCATTTCTGAAGGTATACCTTCAGAATGAGTACTATGGGGTGCATTATTTTTTATGCTATTCAGCACTGAAAATCTTACAAGCAGCAAACACTACTTTCGCGAAGGAATAGTCAGGCATGCATATTCATGTTTATTAGTTCACGTAACTGATCTAAAATAGCGCGCTCTATAATATCGGCCCTAACTGTATGGCAAACAAATAATGCGACTCAGGACCCCAACTAAATTTGTCATTTTTATTTAATGGAGAAAATTATATTCACAATTTTAAGTCTGTGTGTGCCATTCCCCGCCACGCAGAGGTGCTACAATCATAAATTTTATTACCTCAGCTAAGTTCCACTCTCATTTTATGACCCTTGTAGTACAGTGCATAAATATTTCATTTGCTTGAAACTAACGACGGATCGTTAATAATGGCGTGAACTTGTATTTGGAACAAAAACCGTAAAAATAAGCTGAAAAAATACGATTTTGAATGTTTTAGTCTTTTTACAATTATTACAATTATTCCTAATTATATCCACCAAATATTTTTATGTTTACTTTGGAATATTTGTTAAGTTCACAATAATGTTGAAATACCGGTAACAGACCAGTAGGGGGAACGGCGTGCACGTGCCCTCGCCCCGTTCTGCCACTAAATTTTTTAAAAAGTCAATGTTTATTAATGCTATGTGCTACTCACACATCTATTCTGAACCTGTTGTGCCCCAAGTTAGACAAATTCTGGATCCGCCCCTGCAGACTGAGTGAAGGCTCTAATGTTACGTGATTATAATAATACTTAAGTAAATACATTTATTCAGAACTTTTCAGAAATTTCACAACAAATTATAATTTAAGTACTGTACTCATATTCTATTTACGTATAATCAGTGGATCCTTTGGTTTTTGGAAATTTACATATTACAAATTGTTAACATAGGCGTCAAATGAAGCTGTGGCTTGTCAGTTTGAATACCAAACATAAAAAACATACACACACAGACTATATGTAAACACAGCAAAACTTGATTTTTTTCAATTTGGAGTCGCCCACAACCTCCGGCACCTCCTGGAAGGGGAGTGCCTCAGTGATCACCACGTAACAGTAATAATATCGTGCGCCCTCAGACACAAGACATCTCCCAACAGTGTACTGCCCCAGAAGGGGCCAGCGATCATGGACGACCCTCAAGATATAAATATAAATTTCAAAAAAGAGTTAAAGGAATTTGAGAAAAGTTTTCCCTAATAAGTATCTAATATCATCTCTTTTAATTTATTTTTGACCGAATTTAGCGAATTTATTTTTAAAAGACTCTCATGTAGCTCATTCCAGATATTTGGTCCTTGAATAAAATAGATCTGTGACTAGATGTCAGTTTTGAAAATAGTATATACATTTTGTTGTAATTTCTTAGCGTTTTTACACGCTTACTTTTTGTATTATCATCAAGAATTCCACTTAAGGGAGGGGGTAATTGCCTAGTATTATATCTAGATATAAAAGCATACTGCCTGAAACTTATTTATATCAAAAATTGTAAGCATATTAAATCGTTTAAATAATGGACGTGATCTAGCATCTCAGGGTGAATTTGTTAGTAGTCTAACTGCTGATTTTTGTAACTTATGTAGTAATTGCCCCATATAACGTTTCCATATTGGAGGTGTGGCAAGATAAAGGCGTTATATAAACTTATAAATGTATGTACATGAAATATATTTTTTACTTTGCAGATGATAGGCCTACCAATGGCCTTAAATATTTTGTTGCATAAATATTGAATTCATATTGCATGTGGGGTTTCCAGCATAATTCTGCAAAGTAAAGTACTCATATTAAAGACCATTGTGCTCACTGGATCCCTTTGTTGAATTAGGCCTATATGCCCATCTAATATTGACGATATGTTTAGGATGATTATGAATAATTTCATAGCTTTTACCAAACTATCCTACGTTAAAAAAAAACTTTGAGAGCCGACGTGACCAAAATTATGTAGTTACTACGCATGCGCTGGAATTTTGCGCGGTATTGCAAGGATCGGGATTGTGAAAAGAAACTCAATGTAGGACGAGTATTTCCTACATGGAAAGAAAGTGCACCAATAAATGTAGTGTATTTATTTCCTTCATCATGACAAGGAAAATCTCAAATAATGCATTTTAAGATATTTCCAAACCACAATTTTACCACAAATGTAAACTAAATA